ATTCCAGAACCACAACAGATGTATTGCATCAGAATTATCTGGGAAGAGGACTGGGATTCTGTATTTTTAAAAATATTCTAGGCAACCTTCCCATTGTGAAGGCATAGAAAACACTGATCTATAGAAATTGCAAAAAACATCAGCTTTAGTAAGGAAACTTGCATGACCAGAAGCTTTTGGTGGTCAATATTTTTCAAGATTTAATTTTGAGGTTTTAGCATTGCATACCTATAGTTTCAGGAGGTGCGGAGGCAAAATTCTCCCGATCTAATTCTGAAACAATTACTGTTGTTTTAATAGAATTTTCTCAGTGGCAGAGTTTGTATAGAAATTCAGTTTTCTCTTCCTCAGATTTTTCATTCTTGATAAAATAAAAACTTGGCAGAGTACTACGCTTTTCAAGGAAGGTATCTGTTGTTTGATCCATTTCAAGGTGTTTTTTTCAAGATACCAACAGCACTTTATTTTTTCTTTTCAACATCCTGTTCTGCAGTTTCCTTGACTCTTTTTGCCCAGATGCCAAAGAGCTGGGCATTGGTGCAGGCCATGCAATGACTGGCGAATGCCTTGAAGTTTTCCTCCTCCTCTGTGATGATGCTGGCTTTCTCCTTCTTGTAGACGTTCCATATGGGCACGACTAGTCCGATCAGCTGGGTGGCCAACCTGAGTTCTTCAGTAGCACTGTCTCCCTTCTTGGGGCCGAGGGCTTCCTGAGGAAGAGCATGAGTCGGAGCGGTACTCCTTCAGCCACTGCAGGTTAGCCTGCAGGGACTCAGTGGACTTGTTCCACTTCTTCAGATCCACTGAGATCCCAATGACCTGGGCCACCTTTTCGTGGAGGCCGAAACCTCTTGGTGTGGTACCTCGTCGTGGGCAATCTCACTCTGGGGCATCTCACTAAGGAGCATTTCACTATGGGCCAGAAGATGGGTCCAGACACAGGGCATTTTGGTTTTTATGAAAAGGGGATGCATTCAATAAACACTGCTTACATTAAAGTTATTCTTCTCTTTGACTATCAGGATTATTGAGAATTGGCATGATGGAAATTAGATGATTTAACTATTAGCTGACAGGAATGTCAGCTATGACTAAAAAGCCTAAATTATGATGTGTCATACATAGCTGAGAAAGATAAAAGAAATACATTACACAGAATGGAAATGGGCATTTGTCATTATTACACATCCTACAATGTTATATATATTATTTTATAGGAAGCTATTACTTTACATGTACAGATTGGTTACAATGTAGTTAAAATTTTAATTGTTACTTTATTCAGAGCTAGAAAACATCTAAAAATAATGAGTTAAAGAAAGTTTTCTACCAACATTTGAAAACATACATTTTTCAGAGATAGTAAGATTTCTTAACATCTATAAAACATTTTTTTAAGTTCCATTAAGTAAAATGTTGTCAGGAGTTGAAGACAGTTGCCTTCATTTTTATTTTGTAATCTTTATGGATTGATTTTTAAAAGAGTAAGTTGTTTTTAACCTGCTAAAAATTCTGTCATGTTTTAGAAGCAGATTCTATGTTTCTACAATTCCTCTAGTTCCCTAAACAGCTCCGTGGGGGAAAACTCCTTCCTCACTGTATTCACCATGAGTTACTTACATTATTCATTTCCTAAAGCAGAGCCAGAGCTGATCTTAAGTTAGACAGAGACTCTGCTGCATATGTGAGCAATCAATTGATTTTCTCTTCATGGCACTGTATTGATAGGGTTAAGTATATTGATAGAAGACTGTGCTATTTAATACAAGTAGATTTTCAAGAAAATCACTATGCCAAGCACTCCCTGGAAGGACTTCATCTACATACAGCAGCAACTGTGACCTGCTTTAGAGATGACATCATTGGGTGTTGTGTGGCTCCTTACACATTTCAGCCTCAGAAGGAGATAATCTGTGAAAGCCACAAGAGCCTGATTTCTGCTGCGACAGTCTTCAGCAGACAGGAGCCGGGCTGGAGGGACGCATATCTGTTTACATGGTGTGTGCAGTGGCTTGTGGAATTCTGAGCTTTATTTCATTTCTTATCAAAAAGTGCATGTTATGATAGGATGAAGCGAATTGGCTGCTTTGGACTAATGGGAGCTCGTTTTCTGCATGAAGATCAAGAACTTTTCTGGAATCCTCTGTTCTCTGAGTAGCCTTGTATTCTGTATGTGTTTTTTCAATTTGAAGAACACTGACAAAAATCAGCAAACTCCAGCTCCCAAGAGCTCTCTCTCTCTCTCTTTTGTCAATACTTGAAGATTTCTGCCCCAGAATCTTTGAGCTGCCTGAGCGTCGAGGTTGATAACTGAAGGGCAAAACCTCTCCTTTGTAGTATGTGTTACAGAAAATTTTCAGATACCTTTACTTGCTAACACAGGCGGCCGGCCCTCTATGGATTTCTTTCAAAGCTGGTTCCAATAAACTCTTTCCTCTCAAATGGGCAAGAGTAACTGTTCAGCACCATGGAGAGGTCTGGACAGCATGTGAGGACGTGGGACTGTGGCCACAGCAAGCAGTCGGACAGTGTAAGTTTTACAAACACCTGTCACCTACTTTAGGTGAATAGTATTTTTACAGATAGAGAGGAAACTCCAAAGTCTAAGCAAGCCAGGCTAAATTTAAGCTCTAAAACGTGATGGCCTTCATTAGATTTTAAATTCAGGATTAACCATTTAAAATATTATATTAGAAAGTGTTAGTACAGTAATTTGAAAAATTACTTTCTCATTGTATATGTTGGTATGTGGATGCTTGGTGCTTTGAATTTTGAGTATCTGAGTTTTTGTTTTAATTCACCACAAAGTAATTGCCTTGCAATTGCTTTGGAAATAGCATTTTCACATACCCATTAAATAGTTTGAAATGTAGAGATTGTTGCCCTTGGTAAACACAAGGCTCTCTTTTAGAAAGTAGTTTCTGATTTTTTCTCATTGGGAAGGACAGTTTTAAACTTTCTAACTGCTGATCATACTTTCAGTTACCAAAGGAGAAAATGTCTAGGTATTCTAATGTCGGGACACATAGAGAATATTTGATGACTTATGAAATTATAAATTTACTGATATACAATATATAAACTACAGACTATACTAAGTGGTAAGGATAGATCTTTTTATAAAATTATTAGATATGGGCCACTGCAGAAGGACTTGTAGGAATCATTGAAAATATGTAATTAGTTTCAAAAGAGTCCAATTTAATTATTCAAACCAGAAATTTAAAAAATGGTTTATTCAAAAACCTTTTAACACTCTCTTTAAAACTGTCAAAAGTGTAATTTCATGATATCACCCAGACAATGAAGAAAGATACTTTGAATTGCTATCATGAATGCCCCCAGTAGATATTTTAATTAACTATTCAAATTTGTCTAAGAGAATATAGTGTCATAAAAATAATTTGACAAATTATTATCTTTTCTCAAGCCTGTTGTGGGGTTTGGAACATTTATTTATGCTGAACCATTTATTTTAAAGTCTAATTAAGCTATCTTTTTATATTATTATAATATGTAATTTATTTCCTTCAATAGTTCTCCTCATATGTACAAACCAATAATAATATGTAATTTACTTAGCTAAACCCCTAATTCTTTATATAAAATTATAATGAATTCTTTCTATTATATAGGATTTCCAAGTGAATTTGCTGCTGCTTCTTAACTCTTCAATAATTTGGCATTTGTTTTTTGGGTAAATTTTGTCTGGAGTGTAAAATTTTGGAGGAAGTGACTTAATTTAAATTTGAGTTCTTGTTATACATTTTTGTCAGCTTTGCTTAATAGATCCACTGATGATTTCTTTAATTGATGTTAATATTTAAAAGAACTCTGTTTTTGAAAAGAGTGAAAGGTAGATTTATTATTCCAATTCTTTTTGTTTAATTTCCCCAAATTTTATAATTATGCTTTGATTTTTACATATGAATAAGTAGCGCTTTTCACATACTGTTGAGTGCACTTCTCTGATTTTAAAACTTTGATTGTTCTTTTATGATAAACTGTCTCCATTCCCTGCGGGTGGTGGACTTTGGACAAATCATTCTGGTTGATTAGACTGTAGCATTCTAATTTAGAGGATTTGCAGCTTATGTGATAAGATGCATCTGCTTTATATTCTGAAATGGGGTAAATGCACTTGATTCAGAAATTTATTCTCTAGCAATCTTTGTCTCTGTCACCGTCTCTCAAAGATGTGATTCATTTATGATACTATCAGAAGTGTAATGTTTTATATTTCTTGTTTTTCCACACATATTTTAGTGATGTATCTATAACACCAAACAATCTAAAATAACATTGTGCAGTTGAGATATGGTTGTCTATGTATTTATTTAACCAAAAATTGTTGCTGTATGACAGACCACAAACATGTTTTGGTTTGATGGCCTTTTAATCATTGTTGAAATCATCTGAACAATAGAAAAATATCCAGAACTATTTATGTGAGCAATTCACATTTCTTTTCTTTCTTTTTTTCCCCCTATAACAGTCTGGTGGTAGCAGATGTGCATGAACAATCTTAAATTTAGTTGAGTGACATTTTGCTTTTCTTGCCAATGTAAAAATGTGCTCATGGATCTCTTTTGTGTGCGTGGTCCATACACCCTTGCAAAGGTTTTAGAACCTTTGGCTACAAGGGATTTAAGGGCATATTTAGTTAATGAAAACCACCCTATTGAGGATGCTTTTCAGGGTTGCTGAACATAGAGGGAACTGATTGACAGGTGTGATTCTTACTACGGATTTCAACCTTTCTTGACACTAAGAGAGATACGCTTGTTTGGGGAATAGTTTTTACATCTGAGATACTCACAGACTCATTTCTGCTGCATTGGCCCCACCACAGCTTCCTACCAGAAGCAGCTCTTCTAGCTACAGTTCCCGCAGGACCAGGTTCAGGAGGGTAGAGACCAAAAGTGGAATGTGTTGTAGGAAGGTCCCAAAGAGTAGATTCTCCGAGGGAAATGGGGATTCTTTGGATTATTTCAGTGAAGCAGGACCCCTGTTGGTTCCAATGGATTCTAAGCTTGTTTTAGTGAGTTTCTAGCATTATGAGCATTATGGGTAGGGCTCAGTTGACATCAGGTGAGCAAGGGCAGTTCTCCAACTTCTTAAAGAATCATCTTGGGTTGATGCTTCTGCACAGAGATTTCCATCAAGTGATTGCTGTCCTCTGTCGTCATGTTTTACTGTCAGTGTCCCTTCCCTCTCTGAATTGTACTCCCAAGGGACAGTCCTACTTTACAGTGCATGTGGGTCCTAAATGGATATGACCTAACTGATTGAAGAATTATATTAAATATTACTAGAAACTGTGGCGTAAGCTGAACTGTTTCAGAGAACTGAAAAGAGCTTAAAGACTTTCCAAGGAAGACTTCAAAATAGTTGGAATATCTTCCAGAAAGATATAAGTCTGCATATCATGCTTTTCTCCATTTAACTAGTCTTTCAAATGCCAGTTCCTCTAAATGAACCTGGCTCCCTCCCATAAGTAAACTCAAGCTGGAGCACATGAAATACAAGCACACATCTAGTTGGGCAGTTAGGAGAAGAATTCAGGCCATTTCCATTTTACCTAATGGATCTTGTGCTAATTCTTATGTGGATCATTGACACCATCTCATCGGCTCGTCTGCACACGGCACACTGTATTACACAGCATGACTCCATTAATAAGACCCATCTTGATGGAAAAACCCATTTTAAATTTAACATTATGCAGTGATCTCACCACTATGGTCAGAAAGAGACATCTCTCCACCTGGGGTTTCATTTTGGGTGAATTGGAACTGACGGGCAGATCTGTACTGGGCAGATAATGGTGTTGGCATAGAAAACATGTCCTTTGACTATCCATGATTTATAAATAAGTATCTTTATATTTTAAGAAGTGGTCAAATCTTGCTGAAACCAGTTTGGCTCAGTGGATAGAGCATCGGTCTGCGGACTGAAAGGTCCCGGGTTCGATTCCGGTCAAGGGCATGTACCTGGGTTGCAGGCACAAACCCAGTAGGAGATGTGCAGGAGGCGGCTGATCGATGTTTCTCTCTCATCGATGTTTCTAACTCTCTATCTCTCTCCCTTCCTCTCTGTAAAAAATCAATAAAATATATTTTAAAAAAAAGAAGTGGTCAAATCTAGACTTAGCCTAAATTTGAGGATAGTTAGAAAAGAAGATCAAGCTCCAATACCTTAGAGCAGGGGTGGGAATGTCCATCCTGAGGGTCGTATAAGGCCTGTGAAATCATTTGGTCTGGCCCTGCCAAGCATTGGGGTGAGTTAATTAAATGTTTGACCAAATATAGCAGGCACATTTCTAAGATGATAATTTTGTATGGCCCGCGAATGATGTTATAAATATCCAAATGGCCCTGGGCAGAAAAAAGGTTTCCAACCCCTGCTTTAGAGCAAGTCATACAAATTTGCCCATGTTTATTTAACTTTTGTTGGAACTGTACAAATATAAGGATAGCATCATATATGGACTTTATGACTCTGAAGGGCTTTTGTTTTTTTTAAATCTCTGTGGAGAAAATAAAGAATGATGGGTGGAAAAATAATAATACATTTTTGGCTGGTTAAGTAGCCTTCCTGAAATTGTGTTAACTAATGAATCAGAGTTAGCCTGGAGGTGCGTATCTAGTGATGTGTAATAGGTGTCTGTCATAAATATTGTTTTTTATCAATGAACTTAAATATAATCTTTTCCCTACCTCTCATTTAATAGTTGGGAATATTTCATTCAGGAGAGGAGAAACAACTTCCTAAGGTTAGATAGCTGGTCAGCAGCAAAGGTAGAGCTAAAAAACAGATTTTTTTCTGACTCCTGGGCAAGAGAATTTCTACTGGGATGTGGGGTCACCAAGGAACCCCAATGCTGAGCAATCAGTTGAAGTTTTATGGAGAAATTTTCTTAATTTAAAATAAAAAACAACTATTTAAACTTTGGAGCTGTTGTTCAATGGTATAGGCTTTTCCACAAAGCAGTGAGCTTCTCATTACCAGAAATATGCATGCACAGACTGGATGGTCCATATTGGAGATCCTGTAGAAAGGGATTCTATATTGTTGAAGGGTGTGTGTATGTGTACTGGTTGGACTAGATGATCTCTGAGATCTCTTTCAACTTGAACATTGGTGGAGACATTAGTAAATGTTGTCTCATTAAAAGCAGAAAACAAGAATAATTTCTTTATTCAGCAAACATTTATTAGATACATACTTAAGCCACTGGTGTTTCTATGAACTGATATGACTATCCAAATCTGACTAAACCCTCCAAGAAACCACCCATTTGAGGACTAAGAAAGGGGGAGATTGGGGGGGGGCACACCCAGGAGGGAGAGTAAGACATATAAGACATATCTCTTGGACCTATTGGAAAACCAGGTTCGTGGGTCGGGGGGGGGTGGAGGGGGCAGCAAAATCAGGGTTATAATCTAGCATGGAGATATGTCAATGCATAAAACAGAAACAAAAAAATTTAGAATTTACTGATCTCTAATAAATTCTATGATTCTATTCAGGAATGTCAAATCTCTAATGAGCTTTTTTGCTTGCATCCTTTTCACCTGTGTAGTTGTAGCTGCATGATCTACCCTTAGAGAGTCTATCTGAAAAATTCTGAAGCTGTAGACCATCAATTCAAGGGCTCAATATCAAGTCAACCTTACTTCTGGCCCTGCTCTGAATTTGAATATTTCCTTGATTAACTAGATTTTTTAGTATACATGGTATATTTTGGCTATGCTGTAGCAAATAGATCCCCCAAAGTATAATAGCTCAAACACAACAGGAGTTTATTTCCTGATTAGGTATCAGTGCTGGACCAATGAGCAGGTCAATGTATGGACCCTCCTTCATACAGTCATTCAGAGAACCCAGGATGGTGTAGGCTCGGTTACCTTTAACATATGGCTTTCACCCTAAAGCAAACCAGAAAGGGAAAAAGAAATGGAGCAGTGTACGTGGAAGGTTTTAATGGGCCAGGTCTGACAGACACACATGTCACTCAGTTCACACTTTTTTTTACGGAACTCAGTAACTGCAAGGGTGACTGGGAAATAGAGTCCTACTTTATCTACTGGATACATAAAAATAAGACAAAGCATGCATTTTAGATCACTTACCATAGTTATTTCTGCCCTATCTGGACTTCTGTTCTATCTGGGAGGAATCTTCCTTCAAACTTGTAGTTCGTGCTGCTACAAACGTAACATGCACTGCTAGCTCTGCTCAGCGTTCACTCCTCTATAACCTTGGCCAATGCTTGTTTCAGTCTTCCAGGTTGCAAACCACAGAACCTGGCCCTAGTTCATTCCAGCTAAAAATTAATTTGTTAAAAAGATATCAGCTATCTAACTGAATTCACAGGGAAGCTAGAAAATCAGGCTCAGAAAACAAGGAGGCACTAAAGGAAACTGGTTGGCCGGAACCTCAGGCAAAGGCATACTGCAGGGACAGCCTGGGTGGAGTGCTGCTGACCTTATAAGACAGTGGCTGCCTTGCCATGAGGAGTTCTAAAACGTGCCTTGCTTCCCTGAGATACTTCCTTTCAGACTCAGAGCCCTGAACCAGGGCTATCCCAGTGACTGGCTTAGATCATGTGTTCAAGCCAGATTGCCAGGATTCACAGAAGGGATGTTATTTTCATAGTGGGGGGTAGAGTCCTATCCCTTGCAGTAACTCCCATAACAGTGGAATCTGTAATTATGGGAAGGGGGCTTAGATGTACTTAAAAAAGAAAAAAGAAAGGAGGAACAGATCCACTGTGCCTGCTGTTGTAAGATGCCCCTTATGCCGCATTAGCTCTACCAACGGTGCATGCCAACATGTCAATTCTCACTGATTCCAGTTGGCCACACGCCTAGTCTATGCCTTGTTGTCCCTCCTGGGATATGTTTTTATCGCTTTCACCAGTTTATTACCTCTCACACACCCCACTCCCCACCCAGCATCCTGTGTGAGACTTATATCCTGGCCCTTTCTAATGCTCACTGAGCTTTTCAGGTCCTTTCCTATAACACTTGGCATTGTTTTGAGAACAAAATCCAGACCTTGGACCTTATGTGATAAGGTATACATGGTCATTGCACAGACATTTGACCCTTTTCATCTGTAAAATGTGTAAGTCAGCTGGCTCAATTCCTACTAGTCTCAAAGGGATGCCGAGAAGCTTAACAAGATGGTGCTTCGAGATATTTGGAACACAGGGTGGCATTATCACATTATTGTTTTAGCAACTGTTCACTTGAAGGGAGAAAATAAAGAGTGGGAATTTAATGCCAGAGAGGTTTTTGGCACTTTGTCAAGTCAACATTAGCTTTGAGGGCTTTTGGAAATTTGCCTGAAATTTTTCAGTACCAAGCAGCTAAAAGCTGTGTTTTTCTGGGCTTGTGATAGGATGGCTTTAAGCATTTGTGAGAGATGAGCTGTGCCAGACCCATTTTCCAGTGTCCCACCAACAGACACAAAAAAGCCATGCACACGCTGTCTATGGCTGCCTATACCTGCATTCTGCACTTGGAGCAGCACCTCTGACTAGTGCCAGCAGGAAAGGGATGGGAGAGGAGTGATCCATGTACGCATGTGTGGTGGGAGCTCTCTGTCTGACGTGTGGGCCGTGTGGCTGGGAAGCTTCTATTTGAGAGGCTAGATGGACCCTATTGAAGGTCACGGAACCTTCCATAGACTGTTCAAAATCTCCCACATCGGTTCTCTTTGAAAGAGAACTATTCATTCTGCACATGTCACATTTGCCACCTGAACAAAAAATGGGCTAATTAGAAACAGGAAGAAGTATATACTCTTGGAACTTCATTTTAATGTTTTTGGAAGGAAGAGAAAGGCAGGAAAACTTGTTGGGATCCAGGGAAGCATTTATTCACGTGAAGTTTAACCAGTTAACTGCCACGCATCCAAAACGGAAACCATCCCTACACGCCACGATATTTTGAATTTAATTTAAAAAATCAATTTGCAATGAATATTATAAAAATAAATATATTACTCACAATTCGGGTGTT